CCACACAGCTCCTCATGCTAACGTTCCCACACAGCTCCTCATGCTAACGTTCCCACACAGCTCCTCATGCTAACGTTCCCACACAGCTCCTCATGCTAACGTTTACCAGCATCCCTGTGAAGGAAACCCTGCATTAAGCTCCGGAATTCACCTTCAAACTAAGCTAAATATCTACTTTTGTGTCTTTTTTTGCCTGTTTGGATGCTACGTGGAGCCGTTAGCCCGATTCTTTAGTTGGAAACCTGAGAATAAACCAGAGTAGACCAAGAGTAATATTACAGTATTATAATTATTAAGCTATTTTATCAGATCAGAACGAGACCTGACAGCTAACGTTTCCCACACGGATCCTCATGCTAACGTTTCCCAGCATCCCTGTGAAGGAAACTCTGCATTAAGCCTGAGTTTGCTCCTGAATTCACCTTCACACTAAGCTAAATATCTACTTTTGTGTCTTTTTTTGCCTGTTTGGACGCCACGTTTGGAGCTATTATCCCAATTCTTTAGTCAGAAACCTAAGAATAAACCAGAGTAGACAAAGAGTATTAGTAGTCCTCCCATCTTCACATGGAGAAATGAACTTAATTTATGTTTTTTTCCTATTTCGTAGAATTGCAAACCCACACTGGGTGTTTGCAGGTAAGTCTTGAGTACAGAAAATTATTATTATTATCATTGAGTCCAGAAAATGAACTATTTTCACCTTCTGGGCCACAAAGAAACAAGGAACTAAACCGTGGAGCCAGACCTGGAATACAGGAAGCCAAAGGGAAGGGATTTTTAAGGTTTGATGCACACAGGTTGTGCATCTGCCTTAAGGATCCTCAGGTACTGCAGGCATGGTGGGACGGTGCTGTGGAGACTGGACCCCTGCAGGTCCAGGGAAAGCCAAACCCAGAGGGACATGGATGCTTTACAGGTGTGCCGGCGGGAGCATTTCCTGACTCCATCCCAGACTTCCTGGAACCTGCTGAGCCCCAAAAACACCAAACAGCAGAAACACATTCACCCACCGATAGAAACACCGGTGGGTCCTTGGCTGTGTCTCATTCCACCTGCTTGCAAACTTCTGTTAGAATTTGGCTAAAATGACTCACTTTAGCATAGCATGCTATCACATGATCTATATAAATTCCTGATTGTTTTATTTTCTTTTAAAACTATTTTGTGTTGAAGTCTCTGGCTGTTTAGGAGGTTTTTTATGTTTCAACACACCTGATTCACATCACAGAGCCATTAGCAGACAAAGCTAAAAAATGTCCAAATTTTGGCTCTAATTACTCACGTTAGCATTGTATGCTATCACATGATCTATGTAGATTACTGATTGTTTTATTTTCTTTTATAACTATATTTTGTGTTAAAGTCTCTGTCTGTGTCCACAGACTCTCTTTTCTCTCTTTTTCTCTCTCTGTTGCATTAGATCCACCTTTAGGTCA